CGACGTTTCACTGAAGTTGAAAGGTCGTGTATATTGTGCTAGCGTTCGTTCAGTCCTGCTGTATTGTTGTGAGACCCTGAATTTGCGAGTAGAAGATATCCGTCGACTAAAAGTTTTCGATTATCGGTGTTTACGCAGTTTAGCCCATGTTGGATGGAGCGAACGGGTTAGTAAAGTGGGGTAAGCCGTCGTGTGTTTGAGAGTATGTCAGGCATAAACCTGCTTGCATGCCGAATTCAGATTACTAGGCTTTGGTGGCTAGAGCACGTATTGCGTATGCCCAGCCATCGTCTGCCGCACCACGCTGTATTCGCTGTAGCTAATCCGGGCTGGAGGAAACCATGCGGAGGTCAACAGATGACGTGGAGACGAGGCATGAAGAAATGCACAGAGNGGTTGGAGACACTGAAGGGTATGGCAGCGAACCGGCAGCAGTGGCGTTCTTGTTGTCGTTTCTTGTCAGGTCAGAATGTTTGAGACGGTATGTATGCAGAATTCGATTGCATACTCTGTGTGTTGACCATAGTGGCTCATCTTCTTCTCCCTTCCTCAAAATAGATCCAACCCCTTCCACCTTAAATTTTACCACTAACCTTGTATGCATTGTGAGTTTGGCAGCGGTCATTGAAGTTCGCTTTACTGTATTTCGCTGTACGATGATGAAGGAGGATAGGGATTGGACTTACTTTTAGAGACGGGGAGAGAAAGCGAACCTCAATAGTCAACACAGTACAGTTCAACTGTGCATACATACTATTTGAAGCATTCTGGTTTGATAAGAAGTAACGCAAGATCGCCATTGCCGTCGGTTGGCAGCCATGACCTTCAGTATCTTCAATCATGCGGTGACCTCAACCAAATGAGTTCGATGTGTTCGTCGTAGAAGTGGTTGCAGTTGATCGGTGTAAATATTGATGTGGTGAACTGACTCCTTTTGGTCTTACTTCCCTTCCAGACGCTGACTAAACCCCGGAGACGTACTGCATATAAATGACTGTTAATGAGAATCCAATCGACAGGAAAGAACTCGACCCTATGAACAAGTACAGTACCTATCCCACGTTGACCTAGTGAACGGACTTCGTCGTCACCTGATGTGCGAAGAACGTGCCTCGAGGACAAATCCGGTGCGCTCAGAAGGCTCATAGTAGCAGAATCCTGATTTCGTGTCTCTGAAAATCAGGAAACATCGATCCCTAAGGATTCCATTGTATGCGCCAGACAAGGATCTGGGTCCATCTGTATCGGAGTTCTCACTATAAAGGCCCCCAAATTCAGTTATTGATAGGGCTTCAGAATCCGCAATCCATTTCGTGGTAAATTACTTACAGTACTACTTGACAGCAATCTTTGGCGAGCGACATCCAAGTTACTTGAGAGACTACTACAGGTCGGGAGAAGAGGCACACAGGGAGTTCTGGGTACGGAAGGCTGGGAGATATCTGAGCAGTATCCCGCTTATCACTAGCCACTTCGCTCAATGCAATGGGTAGCGCGGGCCTGATTATCCTGCGCGACGACCGAGGCAGTATGGAATTATTTTTAGTTTGTGTATGCGTTGGGGTTTGATAGACGGGTACTGCTAGGGTGTCCAGCCACTAAGCAGGATAACTATTAGGATTCTCAACCAAAGCCTTGAATTCCGAGAAGAACCCGGCAGCGAGGCAGTGGGTAAGGCGAAGTGGAGGCTGATTTACTTGGATCGACTATACTCCCATTCATTTTACCGACAAACGAAAATATTAGTCGAATCCCCAACCTGGAGGATCAGGAGACTGGAATTCGTCTGACCTTTACCGTTAGACCTTCTAGGCATGATTAAATCTTCGGCTTGACAAAAGCCATCCTGTGTAGCTCGTTTGGCCAGAGAGATGCACAAGCCATCACACCACGTCAAGGTGCAATCTCGTCGTGGCGGAAGGCTTTACTTGGCAGAAACCTGGCAGTGTCCTGCCCACGGATAAATACTGCACCCTGTTTTCGCTTGAAGTTGATCCCAGATACCAGCTCATTGATGACTTATTGAAACTTATCTACCGTGGAAGTTTTGAGTGTGCTGAATGTTTATTGTACAGAATGTAGGATTTCAAATGTCTTAGCTTCGAGTTCCTTGATAACTGCTTCTGCAAGCAGACTTGAGAGTGGTCAACCCGTATGAGTTCGTTGTATCTACTGCTACCTCCTTCTATTGAATTGTCCAAACATATTTGGTGGTGCAAATGAGGTTATTGTGGCGAAAATAAATTTCCTGGGTACAAGTATATGAATGAAAAGGCAAAGGATTACCGGATACACATGCGTGACAAGCGGCAAGAACTGCGAAACCGATCGTGCGCTTCCAGGGAAATTTTGTCCAGTCATTATACTACTTATTATGATATATATTGCTTATTCTCCGGTTTTCATTACCGTGCATATACAAGCAAGAGTCAGTCGTTTTGCTAACCACTGTTGTTAATTGGTAGAAATTCGTGGGCGTTTTTAAACATCTAGATTGTTCTCTCCCCCATATCAGTCAATCCTAATGATGACTTCGGGTGGAGTTCTCTCTAGTCACGCCATTGAACTGACCACGTGCCTCAGTCCTTGTGTTTTCATCAGCTTCTCAAAATCTCTTCTTACAGATCTCAACTCAAAAATGCGCATCGAAGATCCTTCCTCTAATTATTCATGCCAAACCAAACAAACACACCACGACAACGGAGCCCTTGACCTAATGCAACGGTTATTGAATTCAGACACAGTGAGTGCGATTCCTCCACTAGCTTAACTCTGCTGTATAAATAGCTAGATTCATGCCAGGTTCATATTGGAAATATGGAACGCACACAAAGCAAATTGGAGGCCATGAGAGCCGCAGGCCCAAATGCATTGTTTGTGCTTCTCGTTTTCATACCATTTTATTAATATTAATTTCCAGTGAAGTAATAAGTGATTTTGACCACACAATGTCCAAATTTCGTCACAATGGAGAACGGATTCCATCCTGCCATGGTATGTTTTGCTCTCCTTCACAATCATCGAACATATAGGCATATTCGAAATGGACCCTGAACTAACTGAATCAGCCAGACACAAGGTGATTTAGCGATTGAATGAATTTTATATCAACTGTTTCCATTCCATCAGTTGAAAATGCTGACCGAGAAATATTTTCCCATCGAATTCGACTCGCTGTTACCGGTAGAGGAGAAAATTCCACACATGCTAGACTGGTGGGCCATGACACATCAGATAATTGTGGATTGTGGGATTCATCGCAATGCTTTGGCGAAAACTGTTCGTGAATGTAATCTGGTGTTAAGGTGAGATTTTGGTTGATTGGTAACTGGCGTATCTTTTCCGTTTTCCTCGCGGGCTCTCAATACATAATGACCAAATATGGGACCAAACACAACAGATCAGCATTTAATTTGTGGTTAAAAAAATTGCGTTGGCAATAATCGAATAGAGTTTGCCTTTGTTTGGGAAATACCACATCGACTGATGGCTATTTCTTATTGGGACTCATCAGCGGTACATAAAATTTTCGTTCCTCAGTTAAAATCAAACTTCAAACCTATTTCGTGCTACACTATCTCTCGCAGACACATTGAGCGCATGAGAGCATTAATTAAAGTAGTCGAATTCCCTGGTAGTGAATCCACATCACCACAACTTGACTCACGAAGAAGCCGCACCTGGGCGTAGTGTGATGTCATGCGCGCCACTGCGACTCAGCGAGCTACAAAGGATATTTTTTTTCGAGCTGAAAGATAGTATTATTCCCGAAGTCAGAGGGTATAAATCAGACAAAGCGTAACCTCCTGCTTGGTCTTGCAGGCTATGGGTTCGATTCAAGTTGACTATCAATCAATCTGAGTAGTTGGGCCTTCAGTTCACTTTTCTGGCTGCCTTGCGGCTACATTCCTGTCAGAACTACGGACTTCGGTTAATAACTCTAGTCGTTGTTCTACTTGATGGTTGAACTCTCTGGTATTACCCGTTCATCAAACTATCACAAGCTATAGGGAATTCCAACCGGCAGCGGTCTGCACACAAGGCAGTCATCATCACACTAATCATTGCATCGAGTGGGATGCGTAATGATAAGTGGGTTATTGCTCAAATATCCTCATTATTTAATTCCTGATCTTTTGTACGCAACTCTCCCCCTTAGTTCGTCCTCCCGACCTGTAGCATTCTCTCAGACAACTTCTTTTTCACTCGCCGAACTTAGTGCTCAGCAACGTTGTAGGTAATGTTTCGTCGCATACAGTTCCTTGTTAGTGTTAAAATTTGCGGGTCTTCAGTACGAGGACTCTCATACAGATGGACCAAAAAGCTGTCTAGCGTGTACAATGGACTGTTTGAATTGGATGCTTGCTCTGTGTCGTAGACGCGAATTCAGGCCCCTAGTGATATAAGCTAATTAAATGCATCTTGCTTGTTCTCGGTATATTCCTCTCGCACATCGGGAGATCACGAAGCTTACTTACCAGGTCAGCGCAGAGCAGGTATCTTACTAGATGACACAGCTTAAGCTTCTATGACNTTTCGTCAATCGTCGTCTATGCGCGACGAGCCCCCATGTGTTCAGTTAGTGTTCCGAAGGGAAGCATGAGCAAAAGATGATTTTAATCATCTGCTCATACACCAAACAACTGCTGTCCCACAACACGAAAGGACCAGTTCTGTGACAAACTCACAGGGTGCTGTTGACTGAGCCGAAATTTCGATACAATTGTGCTGGCAATGACTTAAATGCAGGTTGCAAAACTGACCACATTCGAAGCTTGTCCTCAAGATCTCTGTGCACTGCCTTCTTAGCGAGTTGATATCAGTTATCGACTTCTTCAGTTCTACACGGATAAATGTATTTCCTATACCGTATTTCAGCATATTTCTCGACAGCTGACAACTTGGCGCTCCAGTTAAACAGGTTATCTGACGCGAATCGACGACGTAGATGCAGGCTACCGTTGGCGCTACTCAGTTCAAAATTTCAGGTCTTATTTTTCCACCTGCGTTAAGTCCGATCGTACAGTAGTTGCAACGTCGCGGATTATACGGTCAAGATTAGAAGTGCTATGCAGATCCAAGCCTAAACACCGTCCGAGACAATGGATTTCTCGGGTGCACTGACGAATAGAAAGAAATAACAATACTAATAAGCCAATATCCAAATAAGGTTAGTTGGCGTCTGCAAGGTCACCTCACAAATGCCTCAAGAAGGACCAAGAAAATACTTGGATAGAAACAGCTTGTGAAACGGAAGTAGCTGCTTCATTAGGGTTTACTCAGATTGTTTCACTTGGTACTCGACATCGAAGGCAGTCGGATTCTCTTTCGTGAGAACATCTGCTCCAAGATAATCACAATACAGAACAACGGTTTGATCACTGTGCGGAGTGCTTTAACCAACAATTTCGCTGCCCTAGTGCGATTCGGAATACATCGGCTGTTGAATCGGGATCTCCGTGACCAGTGGTATGTTGCCCTCCAACACAAGTTAAGGTGCTGTCTTACATTAACGAAGAAAAGTAACCTAACTTGTCGGTCTTCCCACACTCTTCAGGATAGGACGTTTGGCTCTCTCGTGTGTTCTATTCTTGACTTGCTGCGCAGCATCTGATCCTCGGGGCTTGTTTATCATCCTTCACTGATCGCTGCCAAACTCGCAATGCATGTATAAGGTGTAAGGGATTGCGCCTATTTTCGGGGAGGGGGAAAGAAGAGACCCTCTATGGCCAACACATGCAGTACCTAATTGAACCGTATTCTGACCTGATTAGAAATGACGCCAATAATATCACTGCAGTCAATTCACTGCCACATCCTTCAGTGTCTCCAACCAACCAGTTACAGAGTCTTTTGGACCTCAGTCTAGAAGACACGAGACACTTACTATACCTAATACCTCTGTGCATT